TATTTGACATAAATAAACTACTCGTACTTAATATCAATAATAATCTCAGTACAGAGTACTAAAAAAACCGACCTCAAAAGTACGTGGAAGTACGTCTATTTGCTAAGTTTTATTGAAATATCCCCTAGTTCGTCACTATACAGGACTTGACACTGGAGGTAATAAAAAGTATATTGAGAGAAAAACGCCTTGAATTGGAGAAATAGCAAAATCAACCATTAAAATAATTGCTCCTAAATTAAAGTTTAGGCGCTATTTATAAAAATGAATCTTCATGCGTGAACAGCCAACCTTAGAGATGGATGATTTTCAAAATGAATTGGGACTACTATGGAAGTACCCCTTTCCAATAAAAAAAGAATCGTGAAAATCGGTTCACAAATACCGGAGTTATCGCGTAACATACATACAAAAAAAAGAACATGCAGTCGAATTGAGAACCTCCTCCTTTTTTGAAGTTGGTTAAAAATATATTTTGTCTGTATTATTATTTTTATTAGACAAACATTGAAAGTGATTAAAATTAGTAAAAAAATTATTACTAATTTCATTTCAATTAATAAATTTAATTTAATAAAAATTGTAAAATTAAAATAAATTAAAACATATGTAGCGTAAATTAGAATCGTCTTTGAAACATTAGGTATTTTAATTCATAATTTTTGTAACTGTGGTGAAAAATTTGCATTAATATTAGACATATAACTGGTTGATGACTTTATCATCTCAGTGAGCTGTGACTATGCGACCTGTATAGGGCCCGAAATCTTGGTTTGTTTAAAAAACAAACATGCGGAATTTAGTTCCCAAAATATAGTTCAATTACCTATGTGTAACAATCGTCAAAACCTAACAACTCCAAATGATTCAAGTTATTGTTTATTTGTTCATATTTATAGGGACACACTTCACACTGTGTCTGTTATCAGTTGTACTTTGATTGCATTGCAATAACAATAATATTACATTATATTGTCGTGGTTACTCATGTGTACAAGCGTTTATGACACGTTCCCATTATGTCGCAACGTTTTGTTTATCGTAGGACGTAGGACTCGATCTCTGATGTTTGCAAGCAAAACAAAAAATATATTGTAAATGTTGAATACGTACGTGACGATTTCAAGTGTAATAATGCTTACCTATGAAATAAAGATTATTTTGATTTTTTTTTGATTTTGACTGTGTCGTGGACGTTAATTTATCATTGAACGACTGTCGTGTCTAGCTGTTGTCACTAGATCGTGACGACAATTTATCCGTTCACGGCAGCCGCCTTGTCGTTTGCACGACAGAATCGTTTGTAGCTACGATTATCTGTCGTCACGTTTTTATCGTGACGTTTTACTTATCGTCAGACGACTGTAGCTCTTCCCATTATCACGAGTCTGTAGTCGTAACGTCAAAAAAATTGTGAACGATGTTAATCGTGTGTTACTATATGTGAACACCTTCATTTAAATATACAAGCTACGACACTTTGAACTCCACGACTATCTGTCGTCACGACATAATGGGAACGCGCTCTTACATTGAATATTTCTGCAGGCTCAAATTACAGATTGTTGTTTGTCATAATTTTGATACTATGGTGCGGTCGTTATATGGAGCGCAGTGACAGCCTATTATCGACCAGAGCTGAGGTTCAGTCCGAAGTTAACCACATGTTAACAAATAAATGTGTTTTAATATTTTTTATATTGAATATCATTATGTTTTTTACTACCATGCCATATTTTTTTTTTGTGAGAATACTCATACTCATATGAATCGTAATTAGATGCTAAAATGTAAACAAACAAAGTCATTGTCAAAGTCTGAATGCAGGCGTGCGAATCCGTCTATTTTTAACGAAATTTGAAAAGAAGGACGTTTTTAATTTTCTACAAATTTATTTATCTATTACAAAATATTAACAAGGAACAAAAACTTTAACAACAGCACACAATAATTTAACAAACGCGCTACGGAGACAACAAACATTCGAGTTCGCGAAACGAAGTACGAATGACATCTATGTCACAAAAAAAAGGCGGCACGAAAAATATTTTTGATCCGGATTGTGTTACCAGTCATAAAATTATTTACGACCTTAAACATAGTCTTTTATTATAATTATTGTATTGAACGAAATTAAGTAAAAACATATTGCAAAATATGAATCGTTCCAAGTATTATCAGATTACACTTTGAAAAGTTTGTCAACTTTTATTAACGCTCAGTTATCCCCTGTGTTTACATTTTGGATAACAAATTATGATTCATACTATAGTTGGTGTTATTGATACAAACATTAATCAACTCGAAGAGAAATTCCTTCGATTCGGCAAATTTTTGCTTGAACTATGGTATTAACTGCCTCCGTGGCCGAACGGTTACCACCCTGGATTGCCACGCAGAGGTCTCGGGTTCGATTCTCGGGGCGGGAGGAATACTTGGAAGGCCTATATAATAATAATAAATTCATTTATTTGTCTTGAAAACGGTAATACATTTCCAATTATTAGGTTTTACATATTGATTCGCGATTGTTACACATGGGAAATGAAACTATTTTTCCGGATTTAAATCGCGTGTATTTGTTTTTTCAACCGTGACCATGGGACCTATAAAGGACCCGAAACGTCGGTTTGTTTGAAAAATCAAATATACGCGATTGAAATCCGGAAAAATAATTTCATTTCCTATAGTAATACATTTTATAATAAAATCAGAGACAGTATTAATTAACAAGACAAAACGGTTTATGACTCAGCGGTCGCGGGGAACCCACGGTCTCTGTTGTTCTGTCATAACCTTGTTGAAGTATTGTAATTCAATATTTATTTTAGGACATCGAGTATTATAATACATAAATTAATATATTTTATTTTAAAACATGCAAAACACTATATCTATTTCTCTCGTGAGTTTGTGTGTAATTTGTGGTTTTCTATCTGTGAGTCTACTATGGACAACGAGTACAGAATATTACTACACTTAAATGTTATTAAACATGGACTAAAAGGACTCAAATATATAAGTAGAATACAAAATAAACGCGTTTTTGAACCAAAAGCGAATGGTTAACCATATGGGTGCTTAGATGCTTAAATCATACTCAAGTCCTTGCCATTAGGGTCGTATTTCCAGTGCTTGAAATCATACTCAAGTCCTGACTTGAGCATTGGATAGAGTTCTGGAATACGACCCTGTGTGTGCATGGCAACCGTGATACAGGGTTTCCCTAGGCTATGAGTGTGTGCCTTATTATTATTAATGGCGATGAAATTTCATAGTTGGAAGACCAGGTCAATCTTGTATGAATTGTTTGGTACATTTATTATTATGTAAATACCTTTGTTGTAACATTCCGTAACATTTTTAACTAAAAAGGAAACTAAAGCCTTTTTACCGTAAGCATATTTTAGCATTTAACAAACATTTTAATATTTGCATAACGTTTTACCTATTGCGTGATGAAAATGGGCTTCTTTTTCGTAGTGAAACTCAATGCAGTTAAACCTAAAGTTGTCGTATACAGTTAGTTATTTTCCTTGTAATATTTATAGCTTCTTGTATGTAATTGAATTTTTCAATCGTTTTACGAAACACCGAATAGTTTGTCGGTGCTACATTGTTGCCATTTTATACGGATTATTCATATTGTGATTTCATTTGGATATTTTAGTGGTGTTTTAAGGTCATAACTGTTTATTACCTAAATTTTATTCAGAGTTTTAATTACTGTTGTATGCAATATTGCACTTTATGAAGAAACGTTAAAGGTTTGTGAGCATGCCTTGTTGTTGCCGATAACAATTAGGTGCACCCCATATTTTATCATGTCATATCTATCTACGTGCAAGAGGTGGGCAGCAAAAACGCAAATTAGTTCTGGAATGATTCAAATTCAAATTCAAAATAATCTTTATTTCATAGGTAAGCATTATTACACTTGAAATCGTCACAATGGTTAAACTCTACCGCTCATTCGTAAGGCAGATTCCCCTGAGAAGAATGAGCAAGAAACTATAGGGATTGCTCTTTGTAAATAACATTTGTATACATTCAACATTTACAGTATTTTTTTTTGTTTTCAAACATCAGAGATCGAGACTACCTCCATGAGCTAAACGGGTTACTACCACGGATTTTTGTCATCCAAGTACGCAGAAGTTGTATAATAGCCTTTAGTATAAAGTTTTTGTTTCACTATAGTGTTAAACCTCGTGAAAGGCAAATTTTGTATATCAACCGGAATCTTGTTATAAAAGCGTATACATTGCCCCTTAAATGATTTTTTGACTTTGTGAAGACTATCAAGAAAAGCAGTTTATTTCTATTCCTCGTATTAATGTTATGTCTGTCACTATTTTTCATAAATAATATACTATTCCTTTTAACATAAATTACATTTTCATAAATGTACTGTGAGGCTAGTGTAAGAATGTTAATTTCCTTAAACTTATCTCTCAAAGATACTTTGGGGCCCAGATTGTAAATTGCCCTAACTGCGCGTTTCTGCAGGACAAAGATTCTATTGATATCGGCGGCATTACCCCAAAGCAAAATGCCGTATGTCATTAGACTGTGAAAGTAGCTGAAGTAAACCAATCTAGCGGTTTCGACGTCTGATAATAACATGTGTAAAGTTAAGAGCCTATACAACCTCAAATGACTTTGGTTGATTCTGCATAACAGTGAAAGTGTAGAAACAATCACATAGAAGTGGAAAAAATATATAAAAATTGAGGATGTACACTGTACAAACTATACGGTGTGAAAACACGATTCCTAAATATTTTCACGACAGAACAAAAACACAAACTTACTTAAATGAACCGTATTACTACAGGAAAAAATTCAATTCGAGCTGAGGTAGTATCGATTCTTACGTCTCACAGTAAAATGAAGCAGTTTATTAATGTTGTAATATGGCAAACGTTGCTGGAATCCGCTGGTAGACTACAAATTAAGCCAAATATTAATTTTAACATTTATTTTGTCTTCTCCGGAAGGTTGAGATCAACAGCGGTTATGTGATGGTGATGTCGCACGCTGAGGGCATGGGCGACGCGACGCTGCGCGACCGCTTGCCGGCGCTGTGGCGACGCATCGAGGATGCTCATTACAGCTACCTCGAGACCGATGACAGTCCAGAGAAGTTGCAGCAACGGAAGAAACTTGAAGGTAAGTCTAATGCCAAAATAGCCCGAAATCTGTGATAGTCGGATGTGACCATTGACTTACAAATAAATGGACGACGGGTCTAATACAAAAACCACGAAAAAAATGTCCCAAGTCAACCTATTTAAACGTAGTAACATGTCAAGGAATATGAAAAAGCTAAAACGTTGAATTTAAATTGTAATGTCATCGCAGTACTGTCTAATTTTGCTTGCTTCGCTGGTAGTCGAACAAACGAAGACTAGAGCGTGAATGACGCTCTGATACGATTTTAACGCACTATAAGTTCGGACACTTTTTAGCGCGGACCCGACCTCCATATTTTAATTGTAAGTCAATGGATGTAACTTATAAGACAATGCATCGAGGACGCTCACTACAGCTACCTCGAGACCGATGACAGTCCAGAGAAGTTGCAGCAACGAAAGAAACTTTAAGGTAAGCCTAGTATCAAGATAGCCCGAAATCTGTGATAGTCGGATGTAACATATAAGGCGACGCATCGAGGACGCTTACTACAGCTACCTCGAGACCGATGACAGTCCAGAGAAGTTGCAGCAACGGAAGAAACTTGAAGGTAAGTCTAGTACCAAAATAGCCCCAAATCTGTGATAGTCGGATGTAACTTATAAGACAACGCATCGAGGACGCTCACCACAGCTACCTCGAGATCGATGACAGTCCAGAGAAGTTGCAGCAACGGAAGAAATTTGAAGGTAAGTCTAGTACCAAAATAGCCCGAAATCTGTGATAGTCGGATGTAACTTATAAGACAACGCATCGAGGACGCTCACTACAGCTACCCAGAGACCGATGACAGTCTAGAGAAGTTGCAGCAACGGAAGAAACTTGAAGGTAAGTCTATTACAACATAGCCCGAAATCTGTGATAGTCGGTGGTAACATATAAGGCGACGAATCGAGGAAGTTCACTATAGTTCTCTCGAGATTTATGAGTTTCCACACGTGTTGCTGCAGCGGATTATACTTGAAAGTAAATTGAGCACCGAGGTAGCACGAAAATTGTGACAGTGAGAGAGCTAACCACATACCATCGTTCAGACCACAAGAACATGTGGTGATAACAAGAAGATGTGGCAATACTGATGAATCTTAAAATTATGCCTAGCTCTAAAATTATGTCTTAGCCGTGGTAGCCTGATGGTGCTTCCCAACTAGAGGGTCGTGTCGAACTCACGACATCCGATCCATTCGAATCCGGGGTTTCATCTCTAAATATCCTGGATTTATGATTGGAAATTTGCCACGAGCATTATGCAAAAGAGCAAATGATTCGGTGAAGGAAAATATCGTAAAGAAATTTGCAAAGCAATTGAATGATGTATGTGAAGTTCCGCATTGGGACCGCGTGGGAAGTACCCAAGCCCTCTCATTATCAGAGGAAGAGAAAGCCTGTGTCCAGCTGTGGGATTATATATAGACTAACTATTATTATTGTTAAGTCTAACTCAACATTGCTGCAGAGAAAAGTGATTTTCTTTTAGATAGCGGCTTATATTATTATATTCGGGTATTGAGCAGTGTCAGCTATAGCGTCTTCATCTGGTGCAACAAAAAAATGGTCGACAAAGACTGCGAACTTACACGTCCAATTTATTATTGATACTTTTAACCTGGCTTTAGTAAAAACGTTGAAATATGGTCAATGTATTTCGATCTCGAGCGCTAGTGTCTATAACAAATCAATGTTTCTTTCCAGGACTCATAGTCGAGTACCTATCTCTGGTTCCCCATGAATGTAAATTCGGCCTAGCGGAAACTGGCAAAGTGTTCGAGCGTACCATCAGAGAGTTGCCGGAATTCAGCGCTTATAGAGCTGGTCTGGGATGGGCAGCGTTAGCGAGATATGCTGCTAATCTACTTTCTCAGCCCTGGAGGAAAGAATATAAGACTATACGGGTGAGTTTTATTTAATGCCTTTGTTATGATATATTTGAAAGATATAATTGATCTATTTTGTAAATGTGCACTAATTTAAACAAACCATTTTTTTATGTTTGATATATATAAATTAATTGTTCCGTCTATATTAGTTGATCTACGGATAAAGTACAAATGAACTGCATTCAAGGTAAACACCATCATTATGTTTAAGCATACTAAATTAATATTTGGTATTTGAAAAGTCGTTGAAAGACCAAGTACAAAGACACGACGCAAGCACATAGAAAAATTCGTGAGGTCCGTTGGTTCGTTCCGTGGCTTAGTTGGTATAGCGTCTGGCACGGTATGCAAGAAGACGTCGGTTCGAATCCGACCGGATCGAAGGAATTTTTTCTGAGTGTTTTTTCTGAGTGTTCGACCTTTGTATTAATAATTATAACAAACTAGTGGAGTAATTTCACAAAAAATAATTGAATATCAATTCAATAAAAATTTAATTAATACAGTGAATAGCGTCATCTCTCGTCAGGACTGGTAGCTGTAAAGGTACTAACTGGGTGATAAATCTGTAATAGATTTCTCATAGATGGCGCTACGACTAAAAAGTCGTTGAAAGACCAAGTACAAAGACACGACGGAAGCACATAGAAAAATTCGTGAGGTCCGTTGGTTCGTTCCGTGGCTTAGTTGGTATAGCGTCTGGCACGGTATGCAAGAAGACGTCGGTTCGAATCCGACCGGATCGAAGGAATTTTTTCTGAGTGTATTTTCTGAGTGTTCGATCTTTGTATTAATAATTATAATAATATTTGTTCCTCTTTTTTTATTACTGGTCTTCTCTTTTAACGATTGATAACATTTATAACTAGTATAACTTTTGATTTTGATCTCCCAATAAATCTTGGTTACGTCCTCCATTCAGTAGGTTAGGTTATATATTAATATCAATAATTGTAATTCTTTCAAAGAAAAAGAAAACCGATCTCAAAAGATTGCTTATCGACTTTTTTCGATTTCCATGGGATCCCCTCATCTGATTCTGACTTCTTGGTGACAATGGGACTGTTACAGATTCCTTTGTACATTTTATATTTTCTTTTCTGGTTGTCATGGTGCCGGTGATTTGTTGATTACATATATTGTGTCAAGTGAAAAGTCTACTTTTATTTGTGGAAAATAATTAGCAATTTGTGATAGCCGAAACGAACCCAAAACTGCATCAGGGACCACCTCAACAATATATATAACCATTGAAACAAAAAATGATTTTCAAAATCGGTGCACAATTGATGAATAAATTGGTGAATACACGGACGTGCCTATAATATTTGAGGATTTCCTGCGATTTTCATGGGATCCCCTCATCAGATTTTGACTTGGTGACAATGGGACCACCACAAGAGTGTACCTTTTGAAACAAAAAAAGACTTTTCAAAATCGGTCCACATTTGACGGAGATATCTGAAAACACAATTATAAACAACGTATATAATCTTCTCCTTTTTTTTAAAGTCTCTTAAAAAGGGATATGTTAATTTTTTTTCCAGTTATACTGCGGGTATTATAAACACGAGATCGAAGCTAATATGGTGGGCGCCGAGACACTTCTTCACGCGATGGGGTACAAGTCCATGGGGGCGGGGAGGTTGGAGCTGTTGGCGCCTATATGCCCTGACTTGGTCACAGCGATATCCAGGGATGCTATCATCGCACACACTGAGTGCCAGGTATATTTTGTTATGAAGTTTTTAGCAGAATTAATTCAGACTAGTCGTCTTTTTAATGCGCTCCAGCAACATGTAAGACAAGCTTAGACCAAATCGACTCATACGTAGAACAAAGACCTATGTGCAAGATGCTGCTTATTCTCGGAACATTGTACATTTCGTTGATTGTTCTTGACTGCGGATATCCACAGTCAAGATCGACTGTTGTTCGATTTTATATTTCCGAAACGAAACAACAAACACATCTCTCACATCTCTCTCAAAAAATCTGAAAACACCTTTATATAGGTCTTTTGAATAACGAGATTATGTTTTAACCTCTTCTCGCTGTATAATCACATCGCACTTTGCACTTCGGATGAGTCGAAATCATCTGTAAGGCTGCTAACAGATATAATCAACTTCATGTAGCTGAGACCAGTAGCTGTAGAGCTCCTTGTAAAAGAGTTCGTCCAGGGAAGTACTGCCACCTTTCTTTTTAATTAAATGGAAACATGAATGAAATTTTTTTAAATTAAATTTGACCTACTTCTGCTGTCCCAATTTTTTTCGTCCCATACAATGAAATGACCTCGTCATGGAACAGAGTCGATCAGCACTAAAAAAAATTTGACCAATTTTATTCGTTTTTATGGACAACTCACGCTTGACCAAAAAATCGACTATACCAAAATTGTTTTCACGAAAAAAAGACTTAATGGTTCCTAAGACAGTTTCCTTGTATCTTCTATTTTGTCGGATTTCCCCATAGAGTCCCATTACCAAGAACACTATATGTATCAACAGCTTTTGTTCCACGACTTCGGATAATTCATCAAATTTTGCTTTCGGTCAAAAATAAAAATATTTGAATAGATCGCTCTAAAAGGTGCTCTGTGCGGTAACAAAAGAAAGCGCTTGCGTAAATTTGTACATGTGCAAAACTCAGGAGCGGGAGTGAGGGTCATCAGGGAATCGGGGAGGACACTTGCACGTTTGAACTTACTATCTTACTACCAAATACAAAAAGTAAGTAAATCTAAAAAGTGTCAGATAGTATAACAAAAACTTGAAAGTTTACTTTTAAATTTAAATTTATTATGTTTTGTAAAAATGTAGCAAAAGTTGTTGTTTATGATTTTAGTAATATAGCCATGCGAGGTTGTTAGTATATTATAAATAACCCAGTATATACCATGTAACTATAAAATTTTGGTTTATAGTACCTCTGTTACAAGTGTAGCATCAGTCTCAAATGTTTTTTCTGTTCGGTCCAGTTATTGACTGGTAGAGATTGTCAAAATAATCGTCAAGTCTGTAGAACGAATTTTCTATGAAAAAGGGCTCTTATCTTTTTTATAAATTCTAAGTCGGACAATTCGGATATAAACAGAGGCAGTTCATTGTATCATTTTATCTTTACATGGGAACCTTGTTTAGTATAATTTGCAATCTCGTTTTTCGCACTATCAATTTGTCCTTGTTTATAGTATTGTCAATGCGTATATCTTTGGCCTTTTTTATGTTTTTGTTTTTATGTACTACTTTAAAGGAATTAAAAATATATACTGATGTTATTGTCATGGCCGTTGGTTGTATGATAGTACAATACTGCAGAGGCCGGGAAGTAAAGGATTGCTGGACGAGTATGAGTTACAAGGCCGAGGTAAGGCCTTGTATTATAAGAGTCTGGTAATCCCCATTCCCGCCAAAGTATATATAGTACTTTTTTCAAAGAATGCGAGGAAATATATAAGACTAAAGAATGACTGAAGGATAATATATAATTGGAAAAATAAATCAAATTTTCCATGACAAATTTTCTTTCTTGTTGTAATTTAGGTGGAGTTAAAATTTTTAATTAAAATTTTCCTCTCCCAGTGCTGGTAATGTAACTTGGTTGTATATTCTATTATATATTCTGGTAACGAGGGAAATATATATACATAAATTATTGTAGTTTCGCTCTTCTAAAATTTATAAATTGTAAAAAATAGGAATATCAAAAAAGAACTTTAAAGTACTTTCGTTTACTTTATCTCCTTTTTTTCCAATTAAATTCTTGCAATTACGGCCCCTGATGCTAATAAGCAGTTGGCTTTTTGACAGTATTTTTTAGTCTGTTTACATAGCTCTTTTTTTGGTAGATATACTTAAAAGTTTAGTGCAGCAGGCAGAAATGAATAAATGTTTATATTGCTGGCAAAGATTTGCACGTTCCATAAATGGTAAATTTTGTGGGTTTTTTTTGAAAGTAATGCAGTCATTGCGAGCATGTTTGAGAATGATTTATCATCTCAAAAGAAAGAAAGTTTTTTAACCCTTGTGAGAGTGGAGTCCATACCAGGCGATTAAACCTGTATTACAGCTTACCAGCCTGTCACTAAGATGTCTTACATAAAAACAAATCAACTGTTGGTGGTGTTGTGTAGCGAAATCATTAATTAATTAATTCAAATTGTATTGTCCAATATCGAGTTGTACAACACTTTGTAACATCAATGAGTTATATCATAGTTTCCCAAAGTGGTCCCTTTTTTTTTTTTTTTTTTTACGGGGGGGAAATCTTTATGGATACCCCTGAGCCCAGGGAGACTCAGGGGTTATGTGGGGACTCTCCCTCCAGACTGGAGGGCCTACCCCACTAAAACCGCCCCGGGTTTCCCTCTCGCCGGTTGAGTCGGCGCCGTGGGATCAGTGAACATTCACCACGACGCCGCCCGGGCCCAAAGTGGTCCCTACCGCCTCTGAAGAAAGTCCTCCAAGTCTGTCCAAGGGGTACTACCTAAATTATCTATATAAACTACACTACAAATATAATATTTTTTCCTTGTGATTTTTTGTGTTAATATCATTGACTTACTATTATATGGACGTCGGGTCCGCGCTAAAAATTGTCCGCACTTGTAAGGCGCTAAAATCGTATACAGAGCGCGACACTCCGCTTTAGTCTTCATTTGTTCTACGGACAGCGCGATACTGCGATGACATAACAATTTAAATTTCGAATAGGTTGACTTGGGACATTTTTTTCGTGGTTTTTGTATTAGACCCGTCGTCCATTTATTTGTAAGTCAATGTTACTGGTCTTCTCTTTTAACGATTGATAACATTTATAACTAGTATAACTTTTGATTTTGATCTCCCAATAAATTTTGGTTGCGTCCTCCATTCAGTAGGTTAGGTTAATATATCAATAATTGTAATTATTTCATTGAAAAAGAAAACCGATCTCAAAAGATTGCTTATCGACTTTTTTCGATTTCCATGGGATCCTCTCACCAGATTCTGACTTGGTGACAATGGGACTGTTACAGACTCCTTTGTACATTTTGTATTTTCTTTTCTGGTTGTCATGGTGCCTTTGTGTGGTGTTGATTACATATATTGTGTCAAGTGAAAAGTCTACTTTTAACTGCCTCCGTGGCCGAACGGTTATCATGCCGGACTGCCACGCAGAGGTCCCAGGTTCGATTCCCGGGCCCGGAGAAATATTTGTATGGCCTCCATTTATTTGTAAGTCAATGGTTAATATAAACAATATAGTCACACCCCGGACACTACATACAACGGTCGAAAGTTATTTACCTACTACAACTACTACAAACAGCAAAGCGCTATCTGCACACGCGCAAATGTGTGCGTGAAGTGGCATGGTTACCCATCACTTTCTCGTACCTATTAGGTATGTGGTAAGAGCGACAACACAGCGAAAATTCTAACGCGAATCAGTTGTCTATAATTCTATAAATAGAGTCCTAATAATTATACATGTTCACTAAGATTTTTGTATCGATATAATATATATATAATCATATAAATAATCGATATATCGTTATCGATTTGCTTAATGCCGCTGATATCAATAGAATCTTTGTCCTGCAGAAACGTGCGGTTAGGGCAATTTACAATCTGGGCCCCAGAGTATCTTTGAAAGATAAGTTTAAGGAAATTAATATTCTTACACTAGCGTCACAATAGCGTAATTTATGTTAAGAGGAATAGCAATCTCTTTATGAAAAATAGTGACAGACAAAACATTAATACGAGGAATAAAAATGAACTAGCTGTTCTTGATAGTCGTTTTCACAAAATGACAAATTCAGTTAAGGGGCAATGTATACGCTTCTATGACAAGATTCCAGTTGTTATACAAAATTTAAATTTAAAAGGTTTAAAACTATAGTGAAACAAAAACTTTATACTAAAGGTTATTATACAACTTTATGCGTACTTGGATGACAAAAATCCGTGGTAGTAATCCGTTTAGCTCATGGAGGTAGTCTCGGGGTCGTATTCTAGAACTCTACTCAATGCTCAAGTCAGGATTGCACTGGAAACACAAGCACTGGAAATACGACCCTAATGGCAGGGACTTGAGTATGATTTCGAGTGCTTTAAACCATACTCAAAGCCTAACTTGAGCATTGAGTAGAGTTCTAGAATACGATCCTAAATCTCTTTGAAAGCAAAAAAATATATTGTAAATGTTGAATGCGTACAAATGTTATTGTTATGTACAAAAAACAACCCCTAGAGTTTCTTCTCAAGAGCCTTACGAATGAGCAGTAGAGTTTAACCAATGTGACGATTTCAAGTGTTATAATGCTTACCTGTGAAATAAAGATCATTTTGATTTTGATTTTTCATTAATTCACTAACTAGAATAATATATTCTTCAATATATATTTTTTAAATATTAAAAGCACTTAAAATGTTATATTTCGGACAGTTACGTTTAAATAAGATAATCAAGGTATTTGAAATTACTTGTCCAACTTTATCATTAGTGACCGTCAACGTGGTGCGGTATCTAAAACTAGGGCGGAGAGGAGAGTGTCCATTCTTGTTACTTTTTTGTTCTTTGATGTGCCGGATGTTCGCTTTTGAAAGCAATATTGTGTGTGCCTCCAGATAATGACGCACGTGTGGGAGGCTGTGTGGAACTGCGGTGCGCGAATCACGTGGGCGGATGTGGCAAGGGCGCGGGCGCAGCGTGCGGGAGGGGCGGCCGCCGCTGCCGCCAGTCTCGCCGCTCCGCATAGCGACTTGCCATACGTCGACAGTGAGTAGCCAGTAACATAATTATAATAATAAGAACATAATTATAATAAGTAGCAGAGCTCCTTGTGAAAGAGTTCGTCCAGGGAAGTATTGCCACCTTACCCATTTGTGCCGCCAAGCAGTAATGTCAGCATTACTGTGTTCCGGTTTTGAAGGGTAATGGTGAAATTACAGACACATGGGACTTGTCAACTTATGTCACAGGGTGACGGGCGCAGTGGCAGTGCCCCTCAGATCTGTGCAATTTAAAGCTCAAGAGCCACACAAGAGTGGCTCTGCAACTGTTATGTATAGGCTCAGGCGCACGACTCATTCGTCCCGTCACTTGATAAATAATAAAGAACAAATCACCATGACATTTTATTTTCATTGAAATTGCATCTATGTGCCAAATTTAATTGAAATTGGTTAACGGAAACTGGGTGAAATTGAATGGACCCGGGGAAGGGGGCGAAATTCAAGAACCGGATTCGAAGTTGATTCGAGACCCTCCTCCATTTGTGAAGTCTGTTAAAAATTCCGTGAGATATAAATGAAAAACATTTCAAAAAACAAATACCAGACATATTTGTGTATTGGCCATGTTATGTATAATATTTTACCTGAAAGATTTTTCAAGTGATTTTAGAATACCCCATTTATAAAAATTGTTGTCTTTACTTAAAAATTTAGCTCTATATGTCGTTTCATGTATCTTCATTATCGTGTACATACATAGAATTCTGTAAAGACCGAAACAAAAGAAAAATTGTAAAGATGGTGGCGTGTTTCACTCCTCTAAAGTATCCTTTTTCTCTTCTGATTCATTTCAATGCTAATTTTAAATTTTCTCCTTCCAGGTACAGAAATCTACTCCAACATAGCACCTTCAATATCAGACCCTCACAGAATTGATCCTCGATATCACACCTCAATGATGCCCTGCAACCATATATGCGAAGACAGCCCTTTAGACGAATCGGGCAACCCTATCATGCCCTACGTCGTCCCCAACGTAATACCACCCCATATGATGTATCCTGTCCCTCATCAACATATGAACGATGTCATGCCAAATCCAAATATCACCGTACCCATGATGACTCCCTATGGAGTGCCTTATTACTATCCTGTACAGTCTCCTTATATGATTCCTACACCTGTCTATGCTCCAATAAAACATGCGAACAACATACCTGTTAATGGGTATCCCATACCACAATACAGGTATCCATCCGTACCAACAGGTCAACTCATAGAGTTGGACTCTTCATATGAAAACGGTAAACATTACAGAGAAGATGAACGGCACAAAAAGAGAGCAGACAGTTCTAGAAGGAACAGCACATCGAGATCTGGGTTCAGTGACACTTCAATACCGAGTATACCACGGTCCGATACACAACCAGCTTTAAGTAAAGCCAAGGAAGACGGCATGGGGACATATGAAAGTTGGGATTATGTATTTAGGAACTTATCAAGTAAAGATGAAGGGAATGACAGAAATCGATTTTCTCCCTCACTAGACCGGGATTCCAGGACATTGGATAGATTAGACAGAGAAGAACGGAGAGCAAAATATCAACCAACAACTTTAGATTTAGAGGATGGCCTACAAGCGTTGAATCTCGATCGATCGTATGACGAGGACGCGTACCGAACAGCTAAAGTAAATGAGAACTTAATGAGGCTAAAGCAAGAACAGGAGTTGAAAAAAGCTAAACAGTTGAAAAAAGTTGAATCGAAGAAGAGGATCGAATCCGTACCCAATCCTAAATCAGACGGTTTGGTGTCAAATAAAGTGGCTCCGGACAAAGAGAGGTTATTAACAAAAAAGGACATAAAAGATAGGAAAGATGTGATAAAACAGCAGAATGGAACAGTGCCAAATGCAGCAGAAGTGAGGAAAGTGAAGAAACCAGCCATGTTCGTCGCTGCTGAAGCGGAGAAACCGAGGAAGCTTGTGGAGAATGGACACACTTCAGCCCATGGGTCTAGGAGTCTCACAAGTAAGCTTCTTTATGTAACTTGTAGAATATAATAACGCATTATAGCCCCGCATTAGAGAAACCCTGTGTCGCGGCTGCCATGGACACAACTACAAATTACACCCAAACTCACGAGAGAAATAGGTAATATAATTGTAGAAGCTTGTCAAAGCCACAGGCTTTCTTATCTAATATTATAAAATGCAAAATGTGAATATACTATAATAATTACTTTTATATATAATTAAGAAAATATTGTCATATCCAACTGGGCCCATAAATATACTAAATATTGTAAATCCTCATCTCTTGAAATATAATTTGCAGTGCCCTACAGGGTCCATAATACGCAGTACCTTAGCTTTAAGCTATTGTCATCCTTGTAACATTATGGTAAATGCAATAAAGAATTGAATTAATATTTGATACCACAATTTGCAGATACGTCGCCTCAGAACTACGACCCGAAAACGCAGTTAATTGTGTCCCTGGACGAGCCCGACGCCAAAATCAACGGCGAGCGTCCCATAAGCCGCACATCTAGTCAACCAGAAAACAGAGCTGACAAATGGCAATGCTCCACTTGTACATACTTGAACAGACATAGTCTGCAAGCCTGTGAGATGTGTGGGAAGTCGAAAAAGGGTCCCGAGATCCAACCGCTGACCAGCGGCGGCAAAGAGTGTCCCGCTTGCACTCTCGTGAATCAGCGAGACGCGAGAGTCTGCGACGCTTGTGGCACCAGCTTGGAACACTGTCCTACTTACATATAAAGTCCTAAATGCAGTGATAAGTTTGATTAGAAAAAAACCAGCAATAATTTTTACAAGTGTATTATGTACGTTTGAAAATTAGTCACGTAATACGAAAAGATTGCCAATTGGATTCTAGTATAACGAAGAGTGATTTTATTTTTTTTTTCAGCGGAAAGTTAAAAATCGATTTTGCAGAATCGATATTATAGAAAGAGTACATTCGATACGAAAATAATCTATAGATTGAGGGTCTTTGTTGAGTTAAAGTACCCGTGGTTGCCAAGTATTTCTAATCATTTAATTTTTATTTAATATTAATCCTTTTTGGTGGGTAATTTTTTTTAAATTAAGTAATGCGGCTGCACAAATTTTGTTGTCACTAGTTCCTTTCGCCATTGCTGTTGACACAATATTCCATTTGTTGAAAGCATTTAATCATATCTGTTTAATCTTGACAAGTTAGTGAAGAATCATCATAGCAAATATTTAGAATTTTTGACTGTTGCCAAGACATATTTAAACGACATAATTGTTTGAAAACGCACAAAGAAATGTGTTCTTAAGGAACGTTTCCTCGATTAAGAAACGTTATTAGAAATCTTTTAACGCTACCGCAGCTGCAGAATAATTTGAAAATTGAATTTAAATTGTTATAAACATTCGTTGGTAACCTGTCAAGTTTAAAAATTTGTTACATTTGCTCATGATTTGTTTCCAGAATTTAATACTAGTGTTTTTAATATTAGTTTGACGCTTCGCTACAGGGTAACGATTGGTATAGATGCGGAATTAATTATATAAATTGGGTAGGACAGATAGTACATAAACGGTCTAAATAACTTGAGAGTTAATGCAATTCGACTGAAAACCCCTGTAGAACCGTCAAAAAAGACAGCGTGAAAAAATTGATAACATGGTGATACTTATATTTAAAATTGGACTGATTGTTTAATTACAATCTCCTAGGCTCAACTCACAAATTTGTACCTTAACAATGGGAAAATAGAGATGAATATTCTATAGGCGAAAAACATGACGCGTCGCGACGCTTCGACTCTGCGCCAGTATGAGTTGAGCCTTAATGCCAGGTTGTGTTTTTCGCTTGCTTGCGTTGCGGAGGCTTTGTTTTGGTTATGTTGGACGCGTGGACGCTACTGCTCTGTGATTGGCCAGAGGTGCTGTCCTCCGCAAACGTTCCCTGTTGCTTGCGTGGAAATATCAAACTAGCTACATATTAAACTCACGCGACGCAAAGAAATCCAACGCAAAGCAAGCGGTCGGCGCAAGCGAGCGACTCGTGAATAGTCCTGCCTGCGCGTACGCGACAGATCTGTGGTAGAGATTCGCGCAAGCAAGCGATAAACGCAAGTGAAAAACTCGTGATTAATGACATTTAAATTTTTTTTTTTAAGTAAATGGACTTTCTTTTGACCACTATCTGGCCCTGGAGCAAAGATAGGGTTTACGATGGAACGAGCTCGCCCAGAAGATGCCTATTCAGTTGCATCTTAAAGATACTCTGGTTGTATGTGCTCGGAAACAAAGTCGCGGGTGCCGAATTCCACTCCTGGGATGTGCGTATAAAAGATGACGAGAAGCACTTAATATTTAAGAGAATACCGACCAAGCAGGGATGATAAAACACAATTAATATATGTTCATCGAAACGCGAAAACGCTTTAACCCATTTAAATGAACCAGCGTGCATGCTTACTACAACCCCTCGCTCTTCCACTGGACAGACTGCTCAAATGCATGCTGTTTGACTGCCTCCGTGGGTTACCATGCCGGACTGCCACGCAGAGGTCCCAGGTTCGATTCCCGGGCCGGGAGAAATATTTATATGGCCTACATTTATTTCTCTCGTGAGTTTGGGTGTAATTTGTGGTTGTCTATGTGTGTGTCCATAGCACCCGCGACACAGGGTTTCCCTAGTGCGGGGCTATGTTGAGTGTGTGCGTTATTATTATTATTAAGACGATGCCGTACGTCTGAATGTCCGATGGTAAAAGGGGGCGGGCGGAATGAGCTGTAGGCACACTCACCGACGTACATTCTGTAGAAAACCGACCGACGAGGCAACTTTGCGCCGGCGGGCTAAATATTTTTGACTATGTGATTGCTGTGGTGACGGTATTCGGCAGGCGATGGCGGGGTGTCGTTAGACGAAGGTTAAAAGGTTTTTCGGTCGGATTGTATTATGAACGTTATAAGGTTCATTCACGTTGTGTACCTAGCTGTTATAAAAGACAGTACATTTTTAGTAGACAACGACAATAGCTCTCTGATCTGCCATATTAGTGAAACTGTGTGGGCGGGGTTCAATGATTGAGAAATCACTTAATAATTGATAATATATTTTAGCATTATAGTAAATTTAGCATTATAATCGTGTATCTGTCCCGCCCAATACTTTATTTACACAATAAAAATTATGTTTACCAACGTTTTAAATGAAGAGATTAAAAAAAAATACTATTCGAAATTTTAAAAAGTTAAAAAAAATTATCACGAAATTATATAAAAATTTAAAATTAAAATAGTGTTCGTTTAAACGCCTTCAAAATGCTTTAACGTTAGTTGAAAAATACTTAGATAACGCTTTTATTTTTTCGGTTTTACTATTATTATTGCAGGGTCCCGTTTTAGAAATGTACAATGTTTTCATTGACGATTTTACTTGTTGAACATTATATAATTACATATAGACAGCCACACTGAGTTAATCACCTTTGCTTGAGGTCCACCGGGTCCCCCAGAGCGTGCCAAGAATATGTTGATCGATAGCGCCCTCCTCTCGCGAGCCAATGCGTAGTGTTCCTTTATCGACCCACTGTTTATTACCTATAAATTTTTTTAGGGCTACATGTATTTTTTTTTAAAGGTGTGTGTGCTCGCAAATGTGCCCGTTTGCCTGTTAAATGTGTTATTAACATGTATTTAACTACATACACGCAGCAGTTGTGACTTAAAATTATATGGACGTCGGGTCCGGGCTAAAAAGTGTCCGAACTTATAGGGCGTTACAATCGTATACAGAGCGTCATTCACGCTTTAATCTTCGTTTGTTCGACGGACAGCGAAGCAAGCAAAATTAGACAGTACTGCGATGACATTACAATTTAAATTAAACGTTTTAGCTTTTCCATATTACTTTACATGTCACTACGTTTAAATAGGTTGCCTAGGGACATTTTTTTTCGTGGTTTTTGTATTAGACCCGTCGTCCAGTTAATTGTAAATCAATGTATACAATGCATTTTTTGCATTCCAGTGACTTTGTGCTTTTGAGAAAGTAAGGCGACGATATTTTAAATTTGGCCGTTTTCTTGAGAACTTTCTTAGTTACTCTTTCTTTCTTTCGAGCTGCACACGTGCATTACGTAGTGCGATCTGCTCGCGTGGCGCCTCTTGCGCGCTACATATACCAACATGTATTTAACAGAACGTGTAGTGTGCGTGCATCGCGTTCGCGATGCTTTCACCAGATATGCAGCTTGTTTTTGATTGCCTCTCCCGATCTGAAACTGCGTCTGTTCTGAGTCGAGGCGCATAATTGCGATTCACAACTGGCCGATCGGACCCTTTTCGCAACCTTTCCTTCAAGTGTGCGGCACAATTTTCACGAGTACAATCGTCTAGAATACCGTACATTATTAAAATTGGACCCCATGTTATATAAATTATTGATCTGTGTATATAATTGGTAGTTTGTAAATAGTAGATATTATATTATTTATATAAAATACATAGGGCAGTTTTTCTGTTATGTATCGAACAGAGTACAGTTTTTAATCATATAATGTTATTTTGTATATATTTTTTGGTATAAGCTGTTTTTATGAGAGCTCTTTAGTGTTTGATTAAATACTTTAATACTATAGCAAGGGTGATACTTAAGATTTAAATTCAACTCTATGCTGCTTATTGTACGGTCCAAAATACGAAATGTCAAACTTGGTGGGCTTTTGACTATACACGTAATATAAGTTGCTATTTAAAACGAAGAATGAAAAGTTACTCGTAAAAGGGCACTAATTAGATTCTCATCCTGCACCTTTTGATTCTTGTTTCATAAGTGCCTACTGGAGAATTTATTATCAGTTTAACAAGTAACTGCCTATAATCAGGCCTATATTTTCTATTAATCTATAAATGAAATTATTAAAATTTCAGCTTATACCAAAAAAAAAAAAAAAAAAAACTAACGGACTAATCATCATAAATAAACTAAAACATCATTAAAGGTGCATTTGTTGATAATTGTAATTTTATGAAATAAAAAATGACACTATTTGTAGAAAGGAATCTTATTTTCGTTCCGAACATTATTCACGAATTTATTACGATAGATACGCTCTCTCAACTAGGTAAAGAGCATGACGATGATGTTTTGGAAATAAATTACTTCCAACAGGCATCTAATTACGCCTCGTTTACACGTGTAAGTAGTAAGTCATAAGCAGAAGTACTATGGCATGATAGATAAGCGTTGCATCGTTTTTAAACATGTCTAACGGTTAAGAAGTATACGTACTTAACACTTACTATACCTAACCCATTTATGGACAGACGACATTTACCATACAATTAAGTAGCAGAATATGATATTCCGGGGTACACCGTTTTTCTATATGGATCTCAAAAAACCAACCACAGGCTTTACAGTGCAATTAACAAGTGCTTTCTGTGTAGTTGCCGCGTACTGTTCCTCCATAGAGAAGTATGAACAACGTTCTGAAAACTACACTGAACATTTTGTATTGAATCAATGTAACCACTACGGCATAATAGAAAAATAGTGATATTTTTTGTTCGGTACTGCTTAAGTATTGCACATGAATGGGTTAACTCGTGTAAACACGTCTTTAATTTAATATGTGGAATGACGTAATGCCGCGTCAGCGGTTATTTAATATATATAAAATTAAATTAGAAATATTTACAAATCACCTGTTGTTTTTTTTAAGAATATGAAATTAATCGGATACGGTTTGTTACCGGCGGTGGAAAAATTAGGATTTGGACGCTCGATATATTGCGGAATATTAAAAGATTAATTTATTCTATTTACAACAAGACTTGATGTCATACGTCAATGTTACTTGATGTTTGACACCAATTCGGGGTCCAAAAGTGACCTGTCCGACTTTGAATGGACTTTATAAATCTTTCAATTTCGATTATAAGGTTCCTTTTTTCATGTACTGTTACAAATAGAAAATATGCACAGTGTAAGGAATAGCACTAGCATAGCGTTAAAGCACTGAGGACGTGTATTTTTATATACGAGTAAAAAAAACAAGTAGATTGTCATATTTGTCATACAAATTATTAGACAGAGTGGTGAAAGCAGGACCCTGTAGGAGTCTAGAATAGTATATTAGAAAAGTGCCGAATAAACCAAGCTGAATTGTTACTTGCCAGACGGTCTCGGACTTTGTCAAGCTTGGCATTTTCCGGTATTTGCCTCTACCACGAGTTTTAAATAGATGAAGTATATGAAAACTTTTAGTTCTGGTGACCGCTAGAGGGCACTGCATAATTTTCAATACAAAAATTATACATTTTACGCAATTTCTAGCGTTTAATAGACGCTAGAAATTGCGTACAATATATTGTAAACTCATGGTAAAGGTATATCCCTTAAGTTCAGAATTTAGATAGCGTTTGTAATAAGTTGCAAAATAAAGAAGACAATTTAATAAAGTTAATACATATGTGAATATGAAAATTAAATTGAAATTTACGGTTTCCCTATATTTTTTTAGACTGGGTCGTCGATTGAGTGAATAGTGAGTGCTTGTGATATTGAAAAATTAATAAATAAATGTAACATAACTGAGTGCTGATATAGAGTAAAATTTTCGATATTCTCGCTTTGCTTTTAGTGCGCAGTATGTTTATCACAAGTT